GATTATTAAAGGGACGATAACATTACATAATTCCCAATGCTCTTTTGGGAGTTCCGTACTATGACTAAAGTATAAGATACCCCCAAACCCTATTCTAAATATATAGGCCTCTACAGTAGTTAAGTTGGTCGTCCATGTTTATGGTCCTCTAAGCCCTACACCCTACATCAGTTCCGAGTAAAGGTGGAAGTTTGCGTGTAGCACGGCCTGAACTCTACGATTTCTCACGAAGCTTTGACACGAAATGCCAGACCAGTGGCACTACATCAGCAGGATGAAAGTTTGGTCGCACTAAGCTGTCTTTGCTTGGCGCAGGGCTCGGAGTACCTGCAAGTGCATGTTACGTGGCCTGGCCAGCGGAGTAATTTCTGCGCTGGAATACAGAAATAATACGTTTCCTAAGGCTCCATGTGCCCATATAGTAGCTACTTAAGCCTTAAAGGGGTCCCTATATAGGTACTTTAAGGCCTAAGTATCTACTACATGGGTACATGGAGCCTTTGGGTTTTTGTTAAAACGGAGGAATTGCTGACGTCCGGGCCTCAACTCCAGACTTGGTTCAGGAAGTCTACGGGGGAAGGGATTTACAAGTATATCTTAACAGAAATAAACAGAACTGGCCGATGCGACGAACTTTCGTCTTGGTGCAACATTCAAGGTGCGTGTAAGGTTCAAGGCTTACGTGAAGCCCAAATAGCCCACTTGTTTAGGGTTCCTCATGTCATTATGGTTTCTATATATAACCCCTAAAAAAAAAGGTAGGTCTTTCAGGGTTCACGTAGGGCCTAAACCCTACATAAACCCTTAGCCCTAAACCCCAGATAAACCCTAAGCCCTAAACCCGATAACCGCGAAACCCTAAACCCAAAGCCCTGAGCCCTAAACCCTAAACCCCTAAGCCCCCAAAACCCTAGACCCTAAACCCTAAACCCTAAAACCCTAAGCCCTTATAGTACCCTTTTGGAACCCTTATAGTACCCTTATAGAACTCTTCTAGTACCCTGATAGTGCCCCAAAGCCCTATAGCCCCTAAGGGATTCGGCTTGGTCCAAAAACCCTCAAACCCTGGGTTTAGGGTTTAGGGTTTAGGGTTTAGGGTTTAGGGTTTAGGGTTTATCCTAAATGGGGTTTCCGAAAATAGGGGACCCTAGTATAGTACCCTAAAGAGTAGGGTCCTTATCATAAGGACCCCTAAATGAGGTACCCCTAACTTTCGGAAACCCCCAAACCCCTAAATTCCCAAAACCCTCAACCCCAAAGAAGCCAAAAAAACCCTAAACCCTAAACCCTAAACCCTAAACCCTAGCTCCAGGGGAGTCTGCTTGGTCATTGCGAGGAGACCCCGACCCTTCGAAGTTTGTGGCTGCATGGCAACCCAGTGGAGGAGGATCCGGGCTTTAGGGTTTAGGGTTTAGGGTTTAGGGTTTAGGGCAACCCAGTGGAGGAGGATCCGGGCTTTTAAATGTTTAGGGGGCTTTAGGGGGTTTCGGGTTCAGGGTTTTGGGTTTAGGGGTTGGGGCGCTCAGGGTTGGCAGATTGAGGGATTTGGGGGGGTTTGGGGCTTTAGGGGTTTAGGGGGTTTCGGGGGTTAGGGTTTCGGGTTTAGGGGCTTTGGGATTTTGGGCCTTTAGGGCCATTAGGGGGGTTTAGGGGGCTTTAGTAGGGTGCTTTGGGGTTTAGGGCCTTCGGGGTTTAGGGGTTTTGGGCCTTTAGGGGGATTTGGGGGTTTTGGGCCTTTAGGGGTTTAGGGGGATTTAGGGGGCTTTAGGGGTTTAGGGGTTTTGGGGCTTTGTGGGTTTCGGGGTTTAGGGTTTAGGGGTTCAGGGTTGACAGATTTAGGGTCTAGGGGTTAGGGGTTTAGGGCGTCCAGTTTTAGGGGTTAGGGTTTTAGGGTTTATAAGGGCTCAACCCAAGATACAAAAAAAACTGTTTAAGAAACCGTGGGTCTTTATTCGGGCTCCTTACATGGATCCTGAGATGTTGGGATTATATGAAGGACCAGGGTTTCTTTATCCGGCTCCTACATCAAGCCCTCTGGACTTTATTGCCCTTAGGACTTATGGCTCGTTTTGTTTTTCATTTATTGCAACCCAAAGGGTCCAAGTACTAGTATAGTATATACTTTGGGGGCCCAAATACTTGCTAAGTACCTCCTATAATGGTACTTGGACCCTTTGGGCAATATACATCTGCAAGGGAGCATGAAGAACTAATAAGTGCAAGTGTGGTTCTATGCTGCCTACTGGTACCCCGGGGTCTTCATAACTTCATATAAGCCATGACGCATGCGAAGTCCTAGAGAGCAGGGACATAGCTGGTGCCTAGACCCGCGTCCCTACCGGAGTGGCCGCTTTCACCGTCATCCCTGGAAGGCTTTCGGGTGCCTTGTTTCCAAGAGACTCCAAAACCCCTTATTTAAGGAATATACCTTAAATTATACTAGGAACCCTAGTAAGATTTAAGGTAGATTCCTTAATTAAGGGATATTGGAGTCTCTGGGTAGTGCAGAGTCAGGCCTCGTGGGGTTGCGGTCAGTGATGTAGATTCTCCAAGAGGGTCCAGATACATTACTATTATGGAAGTAGGTTCCCCAAACCATAATTAGAATGGTCTTTGGGGGTCTACTTCCATAATGGTAGTATCTTTGGACCCTCTGGGGCTGTCTAGGGATCCCAAGCCTGAACAGAACATGACCTAAGCCGTCACCTCAGCTAAACAACAAGGCCCCGCCCGCTGACTCTCTACGCCTCACATAGATCCACAGCTTCTTGTGAGCTGGACTTCATGGCCTTCGGATGTTTCGGCTGAAGGTGTCCTGAACCTTACACCCTAAACCCTAACCCCCGAACCCTAAGCCCCAAACCCTATACCCCTAAACCCTAAACCCTAAGCCCCAAACCCTAAAGCCTCACGAGGCGGTGTAGTGACCGTGTAGTGGTTCGGGCTGGGTCTCGAGGGCAATGTCGATCTAACCTTTTGCGCCTGGCTCTGAGGAAGAAAGCCCGAAATATGCACTCAAAGATATTTCAGATGAGATGTATATAAACTCACCAAATTTCAGATGAGATGTATATAATCTCACCAAATTTCAGATGAGATGTATATAAACTCACCAAAACCGGAATACAGGCCACGTTTCTGTAGGAGATATGTTCTGCACCCACCCGGCCACGTCTCAAGTATGTCGCTCGGTCCTTGCTGAATCGGCCCTCAGCAGTGTTGTCATAACTCTGAGCATCTACTTCAAGGGCCATGGCACTTAGTAACTAGGGTTACTATGTTGAATTATTAGGCTAACTATACTTATAATTACAGATTACTTATAGACACCTTATCGATCCCTTGAAGGCTCCCTTGAAGGATCTCTTTGCGGCCTTTGCGGAACCTGTTCTACTAAATCCCATGACCCTCCAAGTACAGCCTAAAGCTTAAACCTTAAACCCTAAATCGGCCGCTAGCCCAAAGGCTGACACAGCCGCAGCAGGGTGTTTCTGTTAGCCCCCGAAGCTGCGTTTCCCGATGCCTCCATCTAGAATCTATCTACATATAAGAACATAGGTTCTAAATTTTAGTTGCATTATATATATATATATACACACGTACATGTACACCCACATATATATATATATGTATACAAATAGATGTACACATATATATATATATA